TGAACAGAATGTAGGACTCTATCCAAAGAAGCAGTGACACCAGAGATGGAGGCAGAGATGAGGTCCCATGTAAACTACCACTCAATTCACAATAAAAGTTAAAAAAAAAAAAAAAATACATGAGTCAATGTACAACCTTGAGTATAAGCCATCTGAATTTAGACACCATCTCACAAACAGATCTGGCACACTGCACACTAATAATCAAAGACTAGAAAAGTTATGGGATGATACCAAAGACATCATACATGAAGAAAGCAAAAGGTCAGTAACTAGACAAAAAAAAGAAACAACAGACTAAAATGGATGTCAGAAGAGGCTCTGAAACTTGCTCATGAACATAAAATAGCTAAAGCAAATTAAGAAATGATGAGGTAAAAGAGCTGAATAGAAAATTTCACATTATAATGAAATGTGCAAAGACTGGAGTTAGAAAACCAAAGAGAAGAATACAATTAGCATTTCTCAAGGTGAAAGACCTAAGGAATACACATTCAAGCCATAAGGTAAAGTACTGAAGAATTCTAAAGGTAAAAATACTGAGCGACACATTAGGCTTCAAAAGATGGACAGAAACGCAAACAGTCACAAGGAATTCGTTGCTGTTCAATCATAAGAGTTGATCACCAACAGATGATACTGAAAGAAGTCCATACAACTCTGAAGACATTGGATTATAAATTCACAAAACTGTTCAAAATGGTGCTGCAAAGTTATTTCAACCTTGTTTAGACCTTATTTGGCCATGGCTCTTAGTTCAGCCTAAAGGGGTTTGCCCTGTTTTGAAGGCAGGTTAACCGTTAAAAGACTTTCAAAGGTTCTGGCAAGCTAGCAGAGGAGGTGAACAGGTCCATGGAGTGATGGAGCAGAGAGAGGGAAATTGAGAGGCATAAAAGGAGAAAGAGGAGTAGTGGGAGAAAGGCCTTTACGTTTGAGATGGACTTTGGAAGAATCTGACAGAGAATTCATTTGAATGCTTTTACATTTTTCTTCTACCATTTTGAAGAGTCTCTTAAGGAAACAATTAGTAATTCTACCCATATCAGAATTTTTGCCCAGAAGAAGTTTGGTACCTACCTGACATCTCCAGTTTAGGTTTGATTTAGACATAATTTGCTATAACCACATTACTAGAAAAGCCTCTGGAGAGTTCTAGGAAGTGGGTATTGTTGCTGTGAAGTCACTGAGTCACTTCTGACTCAGAGCAATCCTGTGTTCAACAGAACGAAACACTGCCCGATCCTGGGCTATACTCACAAGCGTTGCTTTTGAGCCCACTGTTGCAGGCAATATGTCAACCCATGTCTCTGGGGGTCTTCCTGAGTAGTGCCCCTCTACTTCTCCAGGTCCCAGTATGTGAGACAGAGAGGCCCCATCGTCGCTTCTACAGAGCGTTCTGACTGTACTTCCAGCACTTTTCTCCTTCGCACAGTTCATCATGACTTTATAAACCGCTACTTTAAATCCGGCTACTCTTATCAATGGAGAAGAGATTGAAGTTGTCAAGGACTTCATTCTTCTTGGATCAACTCTCAACACTTGTGGAAGCAGCAGTCAAGAGATCAGATGACGTATTGCATTGGGCAAATCTGCTGCACAGGAACTTTTTAAAGTATTGAAGAGCAGAGATGTCAGCTTGAGGACTAAGGTGCGCCTGACTCAAGCCATGGTATTTTCAATAGCCTCATATGGATGCGAAAGCTGGACAGTGAATAAGGAAGATCATAGAAGATTTGATGCCTTTGAGTTGTGGTGTTGGAGGAGAATACTGAAAGTGCCATGGACTGCCAAAAGAACCAACAGATCTGTTTTGGAAGAAGTGCAGCCAGAGTGCTCCTTGGAGGCCAAGATGGCTAAACTTCATCTCTCATACTCTGGACATATTGTCAGGAGGGAACAGTCACTGGAGAAGAATGTCATGCTGGGTAAGGTGGAGGGTCAGAGAAAAAGAGGAAGACCCCCAATGAGATGGATCAGCCAGGTGACATCTTTGATGGCGTCAAGTGTGGCAGCGGTAGTGAGGTTGGCCCAGGATCGGACATTGTTTCATTCTGCTGTTCATGGGGTTGTTATGAGTCGGTTCCGACTCGATGGCACCTGACAACAACAACAACAACAACACTCTTCTTCCATTACAAGAAAAACTATTTATGTCTTGAATAGATTTATTAGAAACTGACTAATCAGACTTAAACTTGCCGATTAGCTGTATGTATTTTAAGGCTTAAACATTAGTCAGGATCTGCTGTCACAGAACCCCTATAATATGACCCTCGCCAGAGGCAAACTCTGTGAGTCCATGATTTCGAAATGCTTTGAGAATGATAAAATTTCTTGACCTCAGCATGAAAGCAGATTAAATGACCTTCAAGTGTCCTCGTGGTTCCTCAAGAGCCCTGGGTAGCACCGTGCTTAACCATCTTATAGCACACCATGTGTGTCAGAGCAACACTGCGCTCCATAGGGTTCTCAATAGATGATTTTTCAGAAGCAGATCACCCGTTCTTTTTCCCAAGGCACCTCTGGGTGCACTGGAACCTCCAAACCTGTTGGCAAGTAGCTGACAAATTGGGCTGCTAATATCAAGGTCAGCAGTTTGAAACTACCGGCTGTTCCACGGGAGAAATATGAGGCTTTCTGCTCCCATAAAGATTTACAGCCTCGGAAACCCTATACAGGGTCGCTATGTGCAGGAACCGACTCCACGGCACACAACCACCACCACCACCACCGAAGCCGTCCTGGATGCAAATTACAGGAGGACAATCTCTGGCACGTGCAGGACAGTTGCTTTAAGCAGCACCAGAGGACCCCAAATGGAAATGTGCACAGCAGTTTTACATGAAATTACCCACCAAAGCAAAGACAAATTGGCCACAACAGTCTTATTAATGTTGTTGTTGTTTAGTGCTACAGAGTTGCTTCCAACTCACAGAGACTTTGTACAAGGTGTTCACAGACCCACTGACCAGTGCCAAACGAGGACTGGTGGAGACACAATTTTCATAACTGGTGATGCATTTCTGAACTATCACTAGCATGATCCTGATACACAGTTCTGAGACTGACCGATAGCTTTCGGGCAGGAAGAATAAAAGACTGGCCAATATGGCAAATGCGAGCTAGTGGTCCAGCGCATTAACCCACAACGCCACATGAGTAATAGTTCCTGGAATGTCTGTGTCCTAATCCTGAGAACATAAATAAAAGGGGAGTCAAAATATCTGTGGTAAAATTACATTGTATTTTAATTCCATTTTTATCCATCAACTTTTTGAAGCCCTCTTCTATTATCTTGTGTGGTAAAATTTTAGGACCTTGCAGGTGTGATTAAGGATTTCGACTCCACCTGAAAGCATGCAATCTGTGCCTTAGAGAATTCTAGTTTCTGCCTTGCAGAAAATAACCTAAAAACTCTCCCATCTCCCCTCAGAAAAACTGTTTTGACCTTTAGTTTTATGGCCTCTGGAAAAAAATAAGATGTGTCTAAGCCTTTAAATAAGGAGCTCTGGTAGCATAGTGGTTACAAATCAGGCTGCGAACCACAAGGTCAGCAGTTTGAAACTACCAGCTGTTCCGTGGGAGAAAGATGAGGCGTTCTGCTCCCGTAAAGATTTACAGCCTCGGAAACCCTGTTCAGGGTCACTGTGAGTCGGAACCGACTCGACAGCACTTACCAACAACAACAAAGCCTTTAAATTAAGCTGGAGGTTATCAGGAATAACTGTCTTAATCAACGGATCATGAAGACCCTGGGAATGAAGTGATTTTCAAGATAAAGAGAAAAGGCTCTGTTCTTACTCACTTCACTGTGGAATGTAAAGAAAAACAGATCAAAATGCTTAGCTAATGTACACTGCTCTTTGTAATGTGCGTGCTTTTGAGGATCTGGAGGAGAGTTTTGAGAGACCATTCTCCCTGTCCTCTAGACTGCTGGCTTTCTGTTACTCAAGCCTGAATCGGAGCTCCTCCCATCCCTGTGACTGACTACAGTGACAGGGAAAGCCCTCACTTCAGTCTGTCAACACACCAGCCTTCTTTAGTTCATCCCCGACCCCTGGGAAGCCAAGGATACTGAGCAAATGTTGGCTATCAGCGCACACTCAGCTTTCTGGAGCCATTTCTCAGCCTAGGATAAGCATCATTTCAATCCTTAGCTCCAATGCTTTTCCTAGGCTGGTCTGAGATTCTTGACTAACCCTTAAGTCAGACAACCCCACAAAGGCAATGTAAGTGGGGGCAAGAAAGTCCAAAGCCCACTGACTGGCATGGCATGATTATCTGAGGTCCAACCCAGGGAGCTACAGAAATCTGGAGAGGGAAATAGACTGGAATGAGGAGTGATAACAGGTAGAACAATTTATTCAGAAGAATTACTCTTTATAATGTTTTTATCAATGCAATAATTTTAACAGCTAATTTACATGACAATAATATCTATTTCTCTAATTATATTAACTTCTTAGAACCAAAATGAGGCAAAGGGAGGAAAAAATGGATATATATATATATATATATACATACACAGAAATAAAAAATTTCATTGATTACTTACTTTAAACATAAATATAAGATGTCATTGGATCATACCAAATTAAACCAAGAACTACATAACCAGGTTTTCAATTTTAGTTAAATTTTCAAATGAATATATTTTACTTCACTTAAAATTGATTTTCAAGGAAGCCTGATAGCATAGTGGGTTATGAGTAGGGATGCTAACCGCAAGGTCAGCAGTTCAAATATACCAACCACTCCATGGGAGAAAGATGAGGCTTTCTGCTCCCATAAGATTTACAGCTTTGGAAACACTATATAGGGTCGCTATGAGTCAGAACCAACTCCATAGCCTACAATGAACACTGCCACCAAGAATGGTTCTCAGTCTTAAAAGACTTTCTTAACTGTGATTAGGAAATCTACAAAAAACAAATAAACAGATGACTGAGTCAAATGACTTTACCTATTTACCTCTGGGGTTTAATACTGTCCTCACTCACCATTCTCAATAGATGTATCCTCAGGCAGATCCACATCAAGCATAAGGTCGTCATCCTCAAGATCACACGATTCAAGATTATTCAGAATATCCTGTGAGCAAAAGCAGTAAATGATACTATAATGCAGACTCAAAGATTTATGAAATTATTAGATTTGAAAACATCATAATATGATCAACCTTGTTTTACTCAATATTTGAATTATAAGAATAAAACAGATTTTAAAAATAAAAGTTAAAAATTTTTTTTAAAAGATTCAATTGGTTTACTATTTGTTACATCCTAGTCTTCCTCCCTACCAGATTTTTATTTTTAAAAACTTAACATAGTGTGTCGCAGGATACTGTTCTAAGCACTTTTACCATAGTGTATCACAGGATACTGTTCTAATAAGCACTTTCAACATATCAATTTATATCATCTTCAAACAGCTCTAAGAGGTAGTGACTATGGTAATCCCCATACATGGCAAAAATTAATGAACAAACAACCAAAGTCTGTAGCCAAACTAGTATCTGACCACCACCGAGGTTCAGCGCCTGAATTCATGGTTTTAAGAACTACCCTGATAAACTTTAAATAATGACAAACTGCCCAAAGTTTGGGGCATTTCACAGGATAAGCTTGGCTGGCTGGGCTGTGTGCCATGGAGTCGGTTCCAACCCATAGCGACCCTGCACAGGGTTTCCGAGGCTGGAAATCTTTCTCCCACGGAACAGCTGGTAGTTTCGAACTGCTGACCTTGTGGTTCGCAGCCCGATTCTTAACCACTGGACTTCAAACTGCAAAGTTGGTTTTTCTCCAGTGGAGAAAGATGAGGCTTTCTGCTCCTGCAAAGATTTCAAGCCTTGGAAACCCTATACAATGTCGTCATACATGTTATTGTAAAGTGCTGTCGAGTCAGTTCTCACGGCACTTTACAACAACCCAAAGTTTATTCATAGTTGATATGGGTAATTATGCTTTGCTATACCTAGGGACTGGACCACTGACATACAAGAATGAGACAGCATTGAATGACACATTTACTAATATCCATTTTTGTACTCAACTCCTACTATTACCATACTGCTTAGTTTTGTTTCGGTCATGGTTCCTGATGGGTTCTATTTGCAATCTTCTTAGCTAACATCTCTCCTTAGAAATAAAAGTGTTTTGCTCTTAAAGGCTCTTACTCTGATGCCTAAAGAACACAATAAACAAAACAGGGAGTTGCCAAAAATTCAAGTCGCATTCAGAAGAGGGCATGGAATGAGGGGATATTATTGCTAATATCCGATGGATCTTAGCTGAAAGCAGAAAACACCAGGAAAATGTTTACCTGTATTTTGTTGACTATACAAGGGCATTTGACTATATGAATCATAACTATAGATCATAAGAATGGGAATTCCATAACACTTAACTGTGCTAATGTAGAGCCTGTAAAAGAACCAAGAGGCACTTGCCTGAACAGAACAATGGTCTAAAATCAGAAAAGGGCTGCATCCTCTCACTATACTTAGGCAAACTGTATACTGACTCAATAATCAGAGAAGAATGTAGCATTCGGATCGGAGGAGAGCTCACTAACAACTAGTGATAAGCAAATGGCACAATCATGTTGTTGAAAGCAAAGAGGACTTGAAGCACTAACTGATGAAAGTCTAAGACTAAAGTCTTCAGCATGGATTATACCTCAATGTAAAGAAAACAAAATTCACAACTGGACCAATGAACATCATCATTAAAGATAAAATACTGAAATTGTCAAGGATTTTATTTTACTTGAATCTACAATCAATGCCCACAGAAGCAGAAATCAAAAAAAATCAATGTATTACATTGGCCAATCTGCACCAAAAAGAATTCTTTAAAAAAGTTAAAAAGCAAAAGTTTCACTTTTAGGACTAAAGTGTGCCTGACCCAAACAATGGTATTTTCAACTATCTCACATAACATGTGATTGCTGGACAATGTATAAAAAAGACCAGGGAAGAATTAATGCATTTGAATTGCGGTGTTGGTAAAGAGAATCAACAAACGTATTCTCAAAGAAGTAGAGCCAGAAAGCTCCGTAGAATCAGGGATGCTGAGACTTTTCAGAGTCTTTGGATGTGTCATACGGAGGGACCAATCCTAAAGAAGGACATCATTCTTGGTAGAGAATCAGCTAAAAAGAGGAGGACCCTCAATGAGATGGATTGACATGGTGGTTGCAATAATGGGACTCAACCGGATCAACAACAACCAAGGCCAGCAAAATTAATCCTGAGCTGAACTGCACAAGCAGCAAACAGAGAGCAGTGCACAAGCTTACCCCCGGATAACACCCACCATAAGGCAGTTGGGGAATGCCAATGAATACACCAACACATTTTTATCACCTTAATCCAAATACAACACCACCACATGCCTCGTTCATATGAAAAAATAAAGCAGACTAGTTCAAACAAATAATCAAGAAGCAGAGCTAGACAATGTTTTTGAGGAAAAAGAGGTACTAGAAGTCTCTGAAAGAAAGTTCAGAAGAATATTTAGTTACCTACAAACTTTTGACAGAAATGTTGAGGAAAACAAGAAAGAATTCAGAAAGGCACATGAACAATCAAACAAAACAAATAAGCTACTGGAAACAATGCAAAACCTGTAAACAGAAATCCAAAAGATTAATATTAAAATACAAAAAAAAAGGACAATATACTGATAGGGCAAAAGAGTAGATTTGAATCAATGAAAGTCAGAATTAGTGAACTAGAAGGTCAATCGCTTAATACTAGAGTAAACTAGCAGAACAATCAGAAAAGAGAACAAGAAAAAAATCTGAAGAAAGCCTAAGATTCATGTGAGACAACATGAAGAGTAACAACCTAGGGGGAACTGGATTTCCAGAACAGGAAAAGACAAAGAAAACCAGAGAAAAGAAAGTTGAAGAACTGCTAGAAGAAAATTTCCCTAATATCATTAAAAGAAGATAAGCATTCAAAAAATAGAATAAGCCCCAAGCAGGATAGACCCCAAAAGAAAGTCACCAACACATACCATTATCAACACAACTAAAGAACCCAGAAAGCAACTGGGGAAAAATGGAGTGTTACCTACAAAGGAAAACCAGTAAGATTAAGCTCTGATTTCTCAGCAGAACCCATACAGACAAGAAGGCACTGACAAAACTTTTAAAAGAAAAAAACTGCCCAAGCAGCAAAGCTGTCCCTCAAATACGATAGTAAAATAAGCACATTCCCAGAAAAACAAAACTTAAAGCACTCTGTAAAACCCAAGCCAACTCTACAAAAAATATTAAAAGGAGTTTTTTGGACTGATAACCAACAACAGATGACAACTGGAAATTCATGTAAGTGGCAACGTCAACCAAAATTCAGGCCAGGCCTGAAAGTGTACAGACTACAGGACTGAATCGAGGGAATAAGATGTCAATATATGATAAGAACAAGTACAGAGGGAAGGAAATGTATACAGCTACAGAGTTCCAGGTGGTGAACAACTCAGACAGATTTAAAAATTAGACTGTATTAAAATGGAAAAGAAATTAATAAAGTACAGGGTAACCAAAAAGAACCTTAATATACCTTCACATCAGATCAAGAAAGAGAAAATCCATCAAGATGTTGTAAACATTAAAACTATTAAGAAGTTGACAAGAAAAAGCACCCACAAAACATTAACTTAGCATAGGAACGCATGCAGAACAATGAAACCAAAAAAGGGCAAATTTACTGCAAGCAATTCATACCTACCAATAATTACACTGGTCAGTCAAAAGATAGAGAAGAGCAGAATGGATAAGCAAATAGTATCTTTCAATATGCTATCGACAAGACACAGAACTGACACACAAAGACAAGCACAGATTAAAAATTAAGGAATTGAAAAAATTCAATCAAGCCCTCTCATAAAGGAATCCTTCTGTGTATCAAGTTGATGTCATAAACACAGAGAGAAACTATTTCAACTTCTCTCAGTACGTATATCAATAGTATACTTGTTATTAGGTGCCACTGAGGAGGTACCCAACTCTTTGTGACCCTAGGCACAACACAATGAGACACTGCCGCAGACTGTGCCGTCCTCATAATCGCTGCTGTGTTTGAATCGCTAACTGCAGCCGCCGTGCCAGTTCATTACACTCACGGTCTCCTTTTTCACTGACCCTCATCTGAAAAGCATATCCTTCCCCAAGGACGGGTTCCTCTTGTAACATGTCCAAAGTACATGAGACAAATTCTAGTAATTCTCGATTCTAACGAACATTCTCATTGTATTTCTCCAAAAACAGACTTGTTCATTCTTTTGGTATTCCATGGTATATTTCATTATCTTCATCAATATTTGCTCAAAGAATTTTTCAATATTGCAACGTGATGACTGAATTTTTCTTCAGTTGTTTCTGTTTCAGAAATAACGAAAGTTGTATTTCCTTTTGCTTTTCTACCTCCAGGTCTTTGCATATTTCATTATAATATTAAACTTCAAGCAGCCCTTTGAAATCTTTTCAGCTCTTTCAATTCATGTCTTCCACTGCCTTTAATCTCCATTCAAGCTTTCAGACTCTTCACTTACATCTATTTTGGTCTTTTTTGTTATTTTTAGATCTTTGTAATGGCCTTTTTCTTTCCCCATATAAGATGTTCTGATGTCATCCTACAACTTGAATGGTCTGCAGTCATTAGAGTCCAATGTATTAAATGTATTTTTGAGATGGTCTCTAAATGCAGGTAGGGTGTACTCAAGTACTCAAGTACTTCAGCTCCTGTGTACTTCTTCTAATTTTCTTCAGTTTCACCTTAGATTTACATATGATCATTTTATGGTCTGTTTAGTAGTTGGCCCCATGGTGTTCTTCTGATTGATGATTTGAGCTTCTACATTGTCTCTTTCAACAACTGTAGTCAATTTGATTCAGTGTATTCCATCTGGTGAAGTCACCATTTCTGCTATAGATAAGAAGCTATTTCCAATTAATAAGCTGCTGGTCTCATAAAATTCTATCATGCAATCACCAGTACATTTCTATCACCAAACCAAATTTTCTAATTAGTGATCCTTCCTCCTTGATTCTGATTTTGCATTTTTATCACCAGCAATGATCAG